CCTTACTAGTAGTAACAAGAAGCTACTAGGAACAAGTGCATCGCTACGTCGCCACGCTATGCAGGATTCACGATTCGTCGAATCCAGTTCGACGATTGGGCATTCTTCCTTCTCTTCCTTCTCAGTTCAGATCGGCTTCGCCGATTTGGCCTCATTGAGTGTGCATGTCACTTGCGCAAGCTCGGCTCAGCTGGAGCGGTGTTCCTTGTTGTCAAAAGGGCATCGCTACGAACGGAGCAGGATGTTCTAGTAGCTTCTTGCTCCTAGTAGTATGGCCAGGAGCTACTAGTAGCATCCTTGCTCCTAGCAGCGATGCTCTTTGTTACTAACTAGTAGCGATGCACTTGTTCCTAGTAGCTTCTTGTTCCTGGTAGCTTCCCGTCGTGCTTCTCGTGATTCCACCTCGGTGGAACTGCGAATGGTCAAAGAACACTCCAAGGGCAGACCAGCCTTCATTTGCTACTAGTAACAAGTGCATCGCTAGTAGTAACAGGTGCCTTACTAGTAGTAACAAGAAGCTACTAGTAACAAAGGGCATCGATTCACACGTTTCCAAGATATGCAAAGGGCAACGTGTCGATGCTCAGCAAAAGGTAAAGGTGCTTTGCTATTCCAACTGGATTGCAGGGCTTCGCATACATTCAAGCACAGGTTGCTCCTCCCTGCCATCCCATGTCAAATTCTATGCCTGCAGCTCACCCAGCATGCTCTTCATCAGTCCACTGTGCTTCCTTTGCCATGAAGGATCTTTTGATGAACGATCTTTGCTCTTTGCTGTGTGTGAGAACGCGTTCGAGCACTGATCAGAAGCCACACTCTCTGGCCACGAAGGTATCCAAGAGCTCCTCGAAGGCATTGTCTTGACTCACTTGTACTCTCCATGGCACAACATCCAGTTGGAGGCCATCGCTAGTAGCTTGGAGGCCATCGCTATTAGGTTGGAGGCCATTGCTATTAGGTTTATTTGCATAATCTCTATTGTTTCTATTTTTTTGTTATAGATTTGTTTGCTCTTAAAGGTCTGGAGGCCATCGCTATTAGGTTCAAATTCGTCTCCATGGCACAACGGTCTCCCTCTGGCCCACTAGCAAATTCCACTTGAAGCTCGGTTTGCTGTTGGGTTGGATGTCTTTTTGCAGTGCCATCTCGCGGATCCAGTGGGATGCGGACCGGGCTCCCTGTTTGATCTTCCCCTTGGTCATGGCGGTGAACTCCTGAAACTACTTCAGGATTAGGATGGATTAGGTGAGCAGCAAAAGCACCAACACGAAACTGACACCACAAACCACAACCGAATAGCCGATCGCCTCCAACTTAAGAGTGATGGCCTCGAACCTACTAGCGATGGCATCCAACCTTTTAGCAATGGCCTCCAACCTAATAGCAATAGGTTGGAGACAAAGACACCCCTAGACTCCGAGACACAAGCAACAGCTACGACCCAGAAATAGCAAGACACTCAGGCAGGGTTCCCAGCCGCCTAGAGAGCGTACAACCCCAAGCTATCGCTATGCTTGGGTGGAGGGGGTAGATACTGAAAAGGGAGCCAAGTGGCACGCTGAGTAAAGTAGGCAAGCTGAGTAGTAAGGTGTTTCCTGTTGCACTCCGGTGTTGAGCAGAAGGACATCAAAGGAACATTATTTTGTCAGCAGAAACTCAGTGGTCTAAATGGCCAGAATCCCAATAGCTGTGTAACTGATTCCATCCCAATAAACAAGTTGAATCAATTGGAGGGTGTCCGTGCACTACCCTGAATGGACATTTGTTTTGGACCATGTTTTGATATATCTTTCAAGAAGGAACACAATTGTTCAAGAAGGTATTCAATCATTCTGCTTAACTCCAAGTGAGTTGTTGAAGGCAAGGAGAGTAAACCATCTGGATCATCTGCAGGGACAACACTTTTACTTTTGCATCCCAATGCATTTTTGTTGGCAAGTTGGGACGCTTTTGCAAATCTGGAATTACTGTAATTACCATTCTACTGCTCATCAACCCTCCACATTTGAGGCTTAAATGGCTGCCGCTTGCTATTAACAGAGATGGCTTGACCCAGATTGTCCATCGTCAACGTGCACAGCATAAGCTGATTGAAACATATGACTGCTACGTCGTCCGACCTATTTGAGAAGTTCAATTTGCTCAGTTTCTTTTCCGACCTAGAAAAGCATCTTCCGCTTTGCCCGTCAACCCTGGCATCACCTGTATCAACAACAGCCAACGGGCTGTGCTTCATCGCACGAAACTGGGGAGCCAGACAGGTAGGCGCCCCTCGTATAAATGCTTGACATGAAGAGGAGCAGGATGGACCACCAATTTGCGCAAACAGAATAGCAGGACAAGCAGGACTCATGAAAATCAATTTGGGTTTGTTTGTGTGTGTGTGGGTGTTTGCATTGGCCAGCAGGACTGCACAGAAATTTGCACTTGGTGGACGTGGGGCCAACCTGCACCGACTGTTCAGAAGAAACATAACGAAACGTTGGTGGCAGGCCACTGATTCAAATTCACTCAACACATCCCTTAAGCAATTTGTCAAAACCAACGGCAGTAGCACTTAGCTACTAGTAACTAGTAGCTTCTTGCTACTAGTAGCGATGCACCTTGTTACTAGTAGCTTCTTGCTACTAATAGAAATGCACTTGCTACTAGTAGCGATGCCCTTGCCACTCATTCAAATTCAACACTTCCCTAGTAGCTTCACTACAAAACCAACGGTAGTAGCTTGGCTGAAACGAAATCTGGGCGCGGGAAGTGGCCAACCTCCACTCCACCGCTCCAGCGCCGCAGTAACGGCCGCCACACCACCGGAGGGTTGTGAAGGGTCCCATGCATTTGTGTGCCAGGACACTCTCCAACTGTCTTTAGAACTCTAGACGAGCTGTTCTTTTTTGCCGATAGTTTTTCTTCCACCTCACATTTTGGATTTGGATTGTGCATCAAAAAGAAAGGACAATGAAAGTTTGAAAGAACAATTGCCTTTGAACGCTTTAGCTTTTGGTTTGTGAAGGCTTTCTCACCGACATCACTGCATCCAGTTGCTTCTCCGTCGGGCGGCTTTGGGGCCCAGAATGTTGGCGCCCCGAAGAATACGGCCTTGGCGCTGCACGAATTGTTGGAGGCGGGATTTTTTCAATGCGGGAAACACAATGTTAGTTTATTCTAGCTTATACATGTAAAACAAAGATGCACTGTGAATCTTTAACCCAATAGCAATGGCTTCCAACCTAATTAGCTTCTTTTACATAACATGGATATACCCTTTTTAACGCTTTGGCCATTTCTGGTGGAACAGCCGGGTCTTCGAGACTGAATGAGCAATGAATGCTGTCTGAAATAATGTTAATTTACGGGCTCCGCAAAAGATTGCGGTCCGATTTTGTTCCGTGTATTGGAAGTCCTCCTTTGGTTACGTATGGGTTTGAAGAGAATGTTTCCGACCTTCCAGCTTATGACGGCTTCCAAGTGATGGCCCAGCAGAGATTCGATATGACTCCATACATGTGTGCCAAGCGGTGAACTTTGACATGATCGACATGTGCCATTGCAGGTGTTTTGAAATTTGTAGTACGTTGAAGCTTCACTCAAGAGGACGCTATTAGGTGCTCCTGGCATCGCTACTAGCAACAAGAAGCTACTAGGGGCTCCTGGCCTTACTACTAGGAGCAAAGAAGCTACTAGGAACAAAGGGCATCAGCTACTAGTAATTAACACGAAGCTACTAGCAAGCAAGGCAGATTAGATTTCAATTACAACGTTTTTCACCATACGACGTTCACACGCTGGAATTCACCGCTCTGCATTTCACGGCATCCGCTACTCAACGGTGGTGAAAGTTATGGCAAGGCAGAAATTCGTTGTTAGATTAAAGAAGAACTCTAAGAGATGACAACAAGAAGGTAAGCCCCTTTAAAGGGACTTTCTATAGTCTTACTGGCCCTTACTTTCCTTTTTTTCCACTAACAGCGTGGTAACACTAGGGGTTCTTATGGTGGTTGTTAAGGCCGGGTTTTGATCGAGGTGCTCCCATCTGTCCACGGACGGCTAGTTTGTTGCTATTTACGCTACATTCATGCCTCTCGAGATCTTCGAAGTGCATTTCGCCTGCGCAGGCTCGCAGAAACTGGTGTTTGGAGTGGGTGCTTTCCACCACTGCTCGCTCGTTCTTGTGCCGTGCCCATTTTCGGACTTGGTGGTCGACTTTTCGTGGCAAGTGCAGGAGATCGAAGCGGTTTACTGAGATGTGCAGATTTCGTGGCAGACGCAGTAGGTGATGGTCTTCGGTGCACTGTGAATTTCACGGTGGGTGCACTGAACCGTGGCCTTTGGACATGTGGCTCGTTGTCAGGGAAATATCGAGCGAAGGCTGCGTTTCGTATCTTGGATGTGCTTTTGCTGCAAAGCGCCTGCCCGGGCTGTGCTGCCGTTGCTGCTACTACTACTACTACTTATTGCTACTACTTAATACTACTACTTACCAATGCTACTACTTACCAATACTACTACTACCACCACTACCACT